GCAGAATAGCATTGACGCCGATTCGGTCGCAAAGTATGGCGTAGCTACCACTGCAATTATTAAATTTCACTTCACTAGTATATAAGTCACGTTATCTCGATTCTATTTTGAAATACCTTTTGGTAGATGACGGTTAACAATGTTGGTATCCTAGCTCCACAAGAGGTTTCCGAAATATTAAGAAACGCTAATTGAATATGCTTCAGAATATTAAAAAAAAAAAAAAAAAAAAAAAAATAAAAATTGGAATCGTAAGAAAGGATTTAAAATATTTCTGAAATATTTTTAAATGCTTCTGAACATTACAAAAGAGGTTTCCGAAATATTAAAAACGCTAGTTGAATAAGCTTCAGAATATTTAAAAAAAAAAAAAAAAATTGGAATTGTCAGAAAGGATTTAAAATATTTCTGAAATAATTTAAGATGTTTCTGAATATTACAGAAAGAGGTTTCCGAAGCATTCCGAAACGCTTGTAGGAAACGCTTCAAAACATTANTCTTTCTTTCTCAAAAAAAAAAAAGGAAAAAAAAAAAAAAAGAAAATTGGAATCGTAAGAAAGGATTTAAAATATTTCTGAAATATTTTTAAATGTTTCTGAACATTACAAAAGAGGTTTCCGAAATATTAAAAACGCTACTTGAATAAGCTTCAGAATATTTAAAAAAAAAAATAAAAAATTGGAATTGTAAGAAAGGATTTAAAATATTTCTGAAATAATTTAAGATGTTTCTGAATATTACAGAAAGAGGTTTCCGAAATATTAAGAAATGCTAATTGAAAATGCTTTAAAATATTTAAAATAAATAAATAAATAAATCTGGAACTGCAAAAAATGATTTAAAATATTTCTGAAGTATTGTGAAATGTTGCTGAATATTGCAGAAAGAAGTTTCTGAAATATTAAGAAATGCTAATTGAAAAGGCTTCAAAATATTTAAAATAAATAAATCCGGAACTGCAAGAAATGATTTAAAATATTTCTGAAGTATTGTAAAATATTTCTGAATATTACAGAAAGAGGTTTCTGAAATATTAAGAAATGCTAACTGAAAATGCTTCAAAATATTAAAAATAAATAAATAAATCCGGAACTGCAAGAAATGATTTAAAATATATCTGAAGTATTGTAAAATTTTTTTGAATATTACAGAAAGGGGTTTCCGAAGTATTAATAAACGCTTATTAAAATTGCTTCAGAATTTTTTTTCCTTAAAAAAGACAAAAAAAATTCGGAACTACAAGAAATGATTAGAATATTTCTGAAGTATTGTAAAATGTTTCTGAATGTTAAAGAGAGAGGGGGGATTTTTTTTCGGGATTTTTTTTACAGTGCATGAATAAAAACACTACGATCACCTCATAAATTTGATCTCTATTGATTCAGTTCTAAAAAGTAAATAAATAAATAAAATAAAACAATTTGTTTTTACAAACGCGACTCAAAATTTCATTTTTGACATTTCATTTCTCATTAGCTTTATTTGTAATTGTTTAACTTTTGAATTAACTACTTATTTATTTTTTTAGTTTAACTTGAATGCTGATTAAACTGTTATTAAGAACTGAAGTTCATTCCTCAATGGCAGTACTTGAAGCTCACCCAGATCTTAGACCGACAAATATCAGCTTGACTTGGAAGTAAAGCTGGTCTGTGCGCAATACTGCCCACAACGCCAAAATCATACCGATTTTTATCGAATTGTGGAGCCTTTACCTCTATGGCCCACAACGAAGTGTCGAGGAAACACTGTACTTTTTATTTAATATCTGATAAAAATTGTACCGTATTTATTTGTATTCAAAAAGAAATAAAATAATATCAGTTATTTGCCAAAATAAGCCAAGTGTTAATTCGAAGGTGAAAAAATATAAAAAAATTTTAATTTAATTTTATTTTTAATTATAAAAAATTATTAGCAAATTGACTGTAGTTAATTAAATAAAACCTTCGTTAAAAAATTTGCTTCCTCATGAAAATTTTATATAAAGCACTGTTTAATTACTCCTCAAAAAATTCGACTCAAAGGCATTTTTTAAGCTTATCCCCCTGTTCGCTGATGTTCACCAACCCCGATCATTGCTTCGAAATAATTGCTTTTTCTTGGCATAAATCAGTTGAAATTATTCAATTAAAAAGAAAACTTGTGCCCCCACTTAACATGTTCAAATATTTTCCTTATTAAAATCTGTAAGTGAACAAAAATCATTTTTCTAAGTAATCATTTTTTGAAATTAAATTTAAAATTAAAAGTATACTGTTATAACAAGTTTGGTGAGTTGACAACCGTAATTGAATATTTTTGCTTACCAAACGGACGGAAGTGTTTTAAATAAAATTTTTGCATTCATCACTTTGTGCATGAAGCTGAAAGTTAATTTCTAAATCATTTAACGAATCTCTTTAACCGTAATTCATAATAGTATCTTATTATATAAAACGCTAATACGTACGTATGTATCAATAAAACCGATGATATTTCTTTTCTCGCGCTGGCAACAGTTTTCATTTTTAATTGATTGGATTCGGCGCGCAAGAGCACGTAGTGAGCAACCAGATAACAATAACCAGAGTGAGCATTATCAGGTTGTTCAATTCAGATTCATGCACTAAAAAC